ATTTTTGGTACAATTGTATTGACACATTATATAGATATTATACATATAATTTTATAAAGGTATATCTGAAATTGTTTTCAGACTATAACAATGTATGTAAAGTAATTTATTTTGTATTAACATTAGTTTTAACCCTTATTTTTCAACTATATCATAAATACAAAAATGTTGCACAACCTCAAATATATAAATATCGAAAAACAAATTAAAGATACAAATAAGAGAATGCATATCATAAGATTACATATTACCCAATAACACTGCAATGTATAATGTATTGTCAGTTAATTAAAAACTTATGCCGGGTTTGGTGGCAAACCCATTGACCAAGCATCTAGTAATTTTTTATCGTGAGGACCAGCACCTAAGCTAAGCATAAGTCCTGAAAGATCTTCACTATGACCACGACCTCGCATAGCATGAATCACTTTTGCAATGCTATAATTACAAAAAAAATTATACTTTTAATTTTTATATATTCAACAGTAGTATTTTGAAACAGAGTTCAGTAACATTTAATTCAATTAACGATTACAATCAAAATATTTGAAGGTCGACTATACTTAAGTACTATACGAAGTATTCATCGAATAAAATCTCTACTCAATCTCGATTAAAAACTAAAAGTTAATAATTAACAATTAAGATTTGACGACTGATTTCATGAATCGCAATTCTTGATTATTAATTTTTTCTAATCGTAAGTATAAATTAATCAATAACTTTGTTATAAAATGCGAAAATAAATGATATACTTTGCCCATTCCTCCTGCAGTGCTGCAAAATGTGCTTTCAATGTTGAATTGCCTAGTTTCTCATTATCAAGTGACTTTTCAATCTTTATTAGTAGTGTTGGAAGTTTCAAAGGCAATGTGCCTGCCCATCTAACAATGTGTGAATTTGTATTTTCAATTTTGTGTTCATCAGATATAATGTCTAATCTGCATACACTTGCACATGGTAAAGGAACTGCCACCGATGTATCTACACCTAAAATCAATGATACAATTAGTGAAAATACTTCCGATATTAAAATTTGAATAAAATATTTTATAAAAATGTGTAGATACCAATGAAGTTACACTTATTAGGATCCATATATTCCGTAGCTTGAGTTTTGACTCTTCGACATGCGCACGGAATAAGAGAACTAAGGCCATACAAAAACTCCAATCTTTCAAAGCTTGGACCTCTTACTAAAATTTGAACACCTGTTAAACTAGAATATAAAAGTTGTCTAAATTGGTCCTTTCCTAATATGGATCTTAAATTTCTGAGTATCACGGTGGTAGATTTTCCCAAAACTTCTGAAAACTCTGAGTTTGTTTCAGATTCGTTCAACGTTAAATTTAAATTAACAGGTAATTTAGCATTCACTAAAGTGAATCCTTCCTCAGTTTCTAGAAAGGAAAATATTTTATTGATATAGACAATGTTAAGTATAAATAATTTTCTCGAATGCAATATATTTTGAGGTACTAACCAATCTGATGTTCCAAATCGTAATTTAATTCATCATCTAACAAGCTCATAGGAAAAATTTCTATGAAATGCCTTCCTCCTGCGCTAAGAATCCATACTAGCCACATGTGGATTCTAATGTAATTGTAATTTGTTAATATTGTAATTAGTAACATTACTCCATAGCATACATCAAATATAAAACAAACCTTATGAAAACATGTTTTTCATTAGTTATTTCGCAAAAACTTCTGGGTTGTGTATGTGAATTTTTATACGACCCTGATCCATTATTAACTGTTGCAAGACGAACAACTCTTTGCGGGCATTCTGCTTCTTCCGCATTATATTTTTTTTCTGCAAAATCTTGCAATTCTCTAATTATTTCCTTCAAATTGTCAACTAGAAAAGGCCACATATTTAAGAGGAACTGTTTGTCTCTCATGAAAACAATGAAACTGCACCACCTTCTGATTCCTCTTGCCTACAAAAACGACAAATAATTCTTTCTATTGATGAAGTTTCTCTTTCAGGTGTCTCTAAACTTTAAATATATAATGATTGACATGATTTGAATAATTTGTTGTAATAGCTACCAAACATGCTTTTTCGTTGCATAATTCACCTGGGCATCTTTTAATGTAAACGTATGACTTAAAACATGCCCCCTGTATTCATCTCCAAAATAGCAAACACCTTCTCTTCCAGGATACACTTCACAACTTAAACTCCTTATATAAATAAAATTAAAATATGATAATTTATTTAGAAATATATCCGTAATGCATGCATTTACATAATTAATTCTTTATGGCTCTAGCTACTAACAAAATAACATATTTATACTAATATACTTAATAATAAATTTTAAAACATTATAGTTTGCAAATCATAGTTTTATCACATAACATTATTTATCTCTTCGAATATATAGATCATTAGATTTAAATGCTCTAAGCGTGAACAAATACTTTTATACATAAATATACATAATGTAATGTGTAAATAAGTCATAATTTTAATCTTTTATAATCATTTATATCCACAAACGTCATTGGACAAACCTGTGCGTTCAAAACACATAACGCAATAAACATAATTGCAGTTTATATCTTACTTTTATAACTTGCAGAGTTCAAAACATTAGTAAAAGTCAGATTTCACATAGAACCACAAAGAGATAAAACTATGTAGTGGATAACATTTTAATTATTATACCTAAAACATGCATGTTTTAATAAGCACCAAATATCTTGAGTCAACGATTGTTGAGCAGACAGGAACGATGTCTTAGTTTCATGTTCGTTACTCAAATACTTCACATTACCGATGCTTTGACATCCTTCGCATTCGTACTGACCATCTTCCAATATGTTTTGACTACGTCTTAGTATTTCCTTAGGCCCGTAGAACTTTAATTTCTCTGTACTCTGATTATCATAATTATGATACGTTTGAGTTGTGAATATCACTTTAGGTCCGTGTGATTCACAAAAAACACATAATGCAATCACAGCATTCATTTTCTTATGTATATATTATAAAAATATACAGAATCATTTTAATGTCGACTTAATTTTTAATTATAATACGCAAATCTTTTCATACATATTAAATCATCGTAGGAGAGGATTAAAATTTCAAAACCTAACCTCTGTGCTTGTGGTATTGGTTATAAGATAGAACGAATGTAACAACACAATTTAACTTGATCACCGATCTGTTTGCAGTTCACGTTTTTTAAAACAGAACATATAACTTTTTTTTTAGCTTTTCCACGTGACAAGACAAGAACGAAGACAAGTCAAAAGCACGTGACATCATGATTGTCTCTTCCATATATGCTATCACATACGTTTATTTTCGATTTGATGAAGTGTGTTCACATAACACATTCAATTTTCACGACGTCGGATAAGTAAAACAAAAATATACACATTCACATAGCACAACAGGATAGTCATCATAATGTACATGTAATACGCAACACGATTAAAATGTTGGTCAATTTTTTTCTTATAAATGTGGGTAATGTACAATGTTGCCACAAACAGAGACGTAATAGGGCATAATGAGCAACCTGAAAGGCAGCATTTACAGTACATAATATCTCAAGTTTGACAAGCTCTCCGACCGCAGTGCGCTTTGTTAGCGAGAACAGGAGTAGAAATTGCATTGCTCTGATTGGCTGACGATTCAATACTAAACAGGATTCACTGTTGATTGAAAGCGCAGTGAGGATGCTTGCAAAAGTTTAAGGGAGGTACAAAAATTGTGCTAAACCCGAGATATTGTACTGTATGCTCCACTTATTTAAATATTCCAGTGATTCCATTAACTTGCAGGTATTTAGCAGGTTTTCCGTTCTCAAAGCCATCATCAGGGGCAGGGAGACTCCTCAATCGGGAGATAGTGGAAAAACTGCTTTGCTCTGATTGGCTGACGATTCACAGCTGAACAGTGCTGTCCTCACAGTGAAAGACAAAGAGAGGAAACGGCGACTGAGCAAGAGAGTACAGGCATGAGCACAACGAACGGATGCGTGAAAAGAGTAAGATCGCAAACACGGTAAAATGAGATGCTCTAGATTTCTCGTCCATGCAGACACTCAACATACAGCCCGCTAGTTTCGTTTTGTCTCCCTCGATCCATCGCTCGTTCTCTTTCTAAAGCAATTGCGCAGTGTTGGATGCGCAGTAGAATGGTGGGGATAGAAAAACTCCTTTAGCTAGTGGGCGAGAAAAACGATTCTAAAAACGGTAGCTGACTGTACCGACTGTACTCTCATTTGCTTTCGGTACAGAGTTTGACAGTTTTCTAGTTATACACTATAGCTAACGAATGCAATAAATTGAATATTCACGGTTACATATTATAACAGTTATAAAAATATTATTAAATAAATCATGGTGAGCAGATAAAGTCAAACATTAGAGATAGAAGCGTATCTAGCATTAATTTCACCCAATTCTAACCCCAAATAATTTGAAGATTATTTCAGCGATTGAAACGATTATAAACAATTACTATAATAAATATTTCAACAAATGCTGAATATATATAATTTCTATCTTTATTTCTGTAACATTTACGATATTAAAAAAAGGAAGAGCGCTATTTAAAAATAATTTTGTAATTACAGCTTGTTTTAGTATTGGGAGATTTGCACATTCCACATAGATGCAGTAGCCTTCCAAGTAAATTTAAGAAATTATTAGTGCCTGGTCGAATACAGCACATCTTATGCACAGGCAATCTTTGTACAAAAGAATCGTTTGATTATTTAAAAACATTGGCTAGCGATGTGCATGTTGTTAGAGGAGACTTTGACGAGGTATTTTCGATTTTAAATATTGTAATAACTATTTAAGACTCGTATACATTATTCATTGTTGTTCTAGAATTTGAATTATCCAGAACAAAAAGTTGTCACAGTTGGTCAATTTAGAATAGGTTTATCACACGGACATCAAGTTGTACCTTGGGGAGATCCTGAATCGTTAGCCTTAATACAAAGACAATTAGACGTTGACATTTTAATATCAGGTCACACGCATAAATTCGAGGCATATGAACATGAAAATAAATTTTACATTAATCCTGGTTCGGCAACAGGAGCCTATAATCCACTGGATACGTAAGTTTAGTTTGTAGTTTTCGCTTAATTCTAGGTTTAACTTTTGACAATCGTATTTATTTTTATGATAAATATTTGTATTCCACAGATCGGTCATTCCATCCTTTGTCTTAATGGATATTCAAAGTTCAACAGTTGTAACATATGTATATCAACTTGTCGGTGATGAGGTGAAAGTTGAAAGAATTGAATACAAAAAAAGCTAAAATTGTATAAAAATTGAAATATAAATGAACTGAATTACATATTATGTCTATGTAATATACATGACTTTGATACTGATCCATATATGATTCATGTAACATCTCAGGTGCATTTGAATTAGTATTAGCACTTATTTAAGGATTTAAATTGTATAAAACATTAATTGTAAATAAAATAAAGTATGATAAATTTCAATCATACCTCGTTTATCTGATGATTATATTATTATCTATTAAATATATTTACTTTTTATTTTGCAATTTTACATGTGCATATTTACATGTATGTGGATTTCGTATTTGCTCCAATCGAATAGCTCGAGCCATGTCTTTCGTCACGTACGCGCATTTAAATATCGCACTTAACGTGACCTACTTTCATTCAAATTTTGTTGTTCATATATTTACGTTTGATCTTTGTATTTCGAATTAATCTTAAACGTGGTTCCTCGAATTCGTTTGATCTTAAAATACATGACCGGGCAACGAATTCTTTCCTATCACAATAAAATTGATAAGTTTATACATAGGCGTAACTGATAAACCAGATAAAATATGTATATCGCATTAAACATTTACAGAGCATTTAATTAGAGAAATATATGAATTAATTGAGTAATAGTATATCAAATTAATCGAGTGAGTCAATTCGTAGGACTACTAAAGTGTAATTTAAAAATTCTGTTAAAATTCAAAATGATAGCAAATTAAATTTATTCTTCTTCTAGAAGAACATAATAGATATCAACTTTCGTATAATTTCTTTTCGGGTAAGAAAAGTTCTAAGTAAGTAAGAAAATTTGTTCTAAGCAAGTAACATTTATTTGATCGAAATCGATGATATTTCTTCGTTTATCTTTTTTCGTATATGTATGTAAGAGAATTAAGGGAACAGAGTTCTTCTGTTTAGTACACAATTACGTCACTGATATATCGTTTCACTTTTATCAATTTTTACGAGTTTCTTTGTATGTTTTTGTCATCATAGAAGTTCATGGTTTTATCTGGAAAGAGAAGAGAAGAACGTGCGAGGATGCTCGCACGTAGTTGCGAGAAAGCAAGAAGAAGGGGAGATTAAACATTCTTACGCATGCGTAGTACATAAAGTGGGGATTTAAGGAACCCAACAAAAGGGGCCCGGTATTCCTCTACCAGTTAGAAATCATTTGTGGACCCTTTGGAATAATTGTGAAGATTTTTATTTTCTTCTGCGCTTTCATTACATATAGTTGTGCTATACGAAAATTCATAAAACATTACACTATTTTATATAGAAATGGCAACGACATTATTGCGAACGGGTTTACGGTACGTGATTTCGAATGGAGTTCTCGAAAAAAGAATAATTTCAGTTTTGTGCAATGGTGGAGTTTATGAGAAGGAAAACATCGAGTTTCCACAACGAAAGCTGAAGGTAAATTTTCTTATTTTACATTATAAAAGAATAAAATATAACGTACAATGTTTTTAATTCTACGAACACTGTGGCGCGATTAGATTGAATCTGATTGGTCGCCATTGTTGACCGCTAATAATTAAAGAAAATTAAACATATTCTCGAAACAAATTGCTTAGAACGTTTGCATTTAAATTTGATCAATGTGTTACGTACGAGATTTGTTTTATTTTGAAACTGTTACGATTCATTGTACTCGTAATCAGTACATATTCATTTTTCGTAAATATTCAATCTTGATATCTAATGAAACACAGTTGGCGCGGGTTTAAATGTTTAATGAAAACAACAAATATTTGTCAGTGATCTAATTAATTTTCTACAATGTAAATGAACAAACACTTTCTTCTATTCATTTTTCGTACATTTACGTTAACTTGAATTATATTTCACAGTAGAATTTACTTAGCATAATTGATTTTCCATTTAAATAATTAATAGTACAAAATAATAATAAATAATAATAATAATATATAATAATATAATATATAATAATAATTTATTATTATTACATAATATATTAATTTATTATATATATAATATAATATATAATAAAAATAAAAATAAAAATAATAAATAGTACAAAAACACACATTATGTTATTAGTTCGTTGAACGAACAGGACTTACGATATTTATAATGCTACTACAGCACTGATGTATATAAAATTTTTTGTGCATATTGTACATGTAAGATATGTATTTGTTTTGATTCCAGTGCCGTGATATTACACGACGAATGCATAGTAAGAGCCGTACACACTATACGGGAGTCTCAATATCCACAGACGAACGAGACGAACAGGATAGCGACTCTGACAATGAACACGAAAGAGTAAGACAATATTTTTATGCTTGTTCATTTATTGTTTATATCAACAAAGGGCACATAATAAAAAAGACATGCAATATCGTTTGACTATACTTTCTTTAATACAAATAAATTCAATAATTATGGATTATTTTTCGAATTAAAAATAAAATATTTTAATAAAATGAACGATAAAGTGTTAAAGTAATTAATACATTTAATATTAAACTAACGAAGGGTAGTCACTATTTTTATTCGATGAGATTTTTCTTTTTCATAAAATGACATGATTGCGTAGAAAAAATCAAACGCATAGAACAAAGCAGTTTTTAGGTTTCCACGTGTTCGGGAAATAGAATGTATGATGAAAACGTAGTATGTATATGTATCTATATATGTACATGTGTACACAAGTTCAACACGTAATTGAGCAATATTTGAGGTTCGGCCCCACTGGTCCCACAGCCCACTGCTCGATTCGATCCCCCGCTTTCAATATGTAACAGACATCGTTTTCTTCCTTTTGTGACCCGTATAACCTTGAACAGCATTATGTGCCTCGCACATCATTGAACTCGATGAAACAAAATAAAAAACTCTGGTTTGTTTAACTTTTTTATATGAAAAGGAAAAATTGTGTAATAAACTAGTAATTAGACTATATTATTCTATAACATATTGATAATTATATATCACACAGTAGCATTAAGTAAATATTTTTGAAGATCGTAACGCAACGAAATATTATTAATTAAATATTATTAATTATAAGAATATGTTCGCAAAAAATTCATTATATTTTACGTTGTGATAAAAATAACGTCGATTGTATAAAAGAAAATTGAATTCTCTTCTTGCCGATAGATCCACCGCGTTTTTAACTTAATTCTTGGACTAATTTCGACATCCATTTTATTAGTTTTTCTATTATTATTGATGCTCTTTGGTTCCATGCATTTCGTGGTATGAAAGTGAACGTAAGATACATTTTCGATATTTAATTTTCAGGGAGTATCACATTTCTGGAGACGAAAAATGCGCACATTACACAACCATTTAGACGTTAATAAAGATGGACTTATCAGTTATGATGATTTCATGCTGCTTGCAGAAAGATTCTCTGACTTAGGGCATTTATCCGAAGAGGCTAAGACTGAATTCAAAAAAGTACTAAGTGTAGGTATTCTGTATGTTTATTAATACAGATAATATTCAGATTAAACATCTCTTAATTTTCTTTAATACTCTATTAATAATCACGTATTCTAATCGTTCAGTCGACACATATAAAATGAGAGTCAATGACAAAATATATACATTTTTTATTTCTTTAATAATTTATTTAAACTTTTAAATGATAAATTTATTTTTTAGAAAAGACATATTTGAAGCAAAAAGATATGTATTGTTTAATTTTAAGTATGGATACTAATTGTTTGTTTAATATTTGTTGACACTGTAGTTGTTGACACAAAAGTATATAATTGTTTTTTTATATAATATATATATAATATATAGTTCAGTAAAAAAATAAGAAAAATAAAATATTGAAAGCAGTTAAACATCCACTTACGTATGTACACGTTTATTTAGGATATGTGGAAGGAACAATGGGGTGAAATTAGTCCATATAATCTCATTTGTATTGAAAAATACTTGGAAGAAATGCATCATGTTCTTAATGACTCGTCGTTGAAAAAGAAATGTCATCATTTCTTGCCATTTTTATTCAAAGTAAGTATCCAAAATAATTATGTATGTCTACCAGTGATGTGCGAGACCGGGTCTTTTTAAAATACTGGGGTTTGAAAATCTCGAATATTTATCGGAATCCCGTACCGATCAACGGGATCTGAGAATTTTTGGGATCCCGCACGCCTCTAATAGACGTTAGAGAACATACATAAATGAACATTCATGAAAGAATCCTTTTCCTAAAAATATAATGCGTAATGAACTAAAATTGCAGGCAGTAGACAAAGATCAGAGTGGTGAAATTTCTGTGGAGGAATTCAAATTATTTTTCCAATGTTTAGGTCTCACACATGATGTAAGTAAAATTTATATATTCTCTATCCCAATATTTAAAATACGATACGAACAAATGATTTATTTTTAATTGAAAATTTTATTACAGCATGCAGTTGTTTCCTTCAGTCACATTGATTCTAATGACGATGGTAAAATTAGTTTCGACGAATTTGTATCACTGGGCCGTGATTTTTTCATAGACGAAGATCCAAAGAGGCCCAGTAAACATTTCTGGGGACCGTTAATAGTCTGAATATGTTATTATTTTACCCTGTAACTTGTGATATTAAGATACCGCCTGTTAATTATTTTTATAATGACATATGAATTATTAATATGATTTATTACACTTTTAGTAGAATAAGTTTTTTTCTATAAAAATAATTTGAAATAGATCAAGCATACATGTATTTGAAAGATCTTATGTTCTGGACAACAAAATTTGTTTAATGAACATGTTCTTTAGATATGGTAATGGTTAAAAATTTCTATAACACATTTATATTAAAAAGTACAACCATTTAATAAAAAGTATGAATACTCACTTTTACAAATGTAAGTAATTATAAGAAAATAAATAGACTGACAATTAAATAATCATTTTCTTGATTTCCTAAGGGAGAAACCTTCTCCTGTAAAAGCTTTAAATTCATCTTGGTCTTTTACCTGTAACAACAATTACTATAGCTTAAACAACACGCATAGCGATAAGTACATTAGACAGACAATTTAAAGCTCTCTTACCTCTTTATTATTAATAGGTTTCATATTACGTAAAAATACGAGGGTCCCTATTTTATATTCATAATCTGGTATTCCTCTAATATATGTAGGTTTATTTGTGGCAACATCTGACTGTCCAAAATCTTTACGTTTTTTGCCATCTAATCTATTACCATGTCCTTTAAATGGTACAAAACCAACGGGTGCTGGCATTAAATCAGCAGGGTCTACTACAGGTTCATCCTTTTTAGTATGTTTCTCCGGTTCTATATAACCCACAGGTGGAGCAAACTCAACGTTCATATCACATTCTATGATACTAACTGCTGAATTTGGTTTTGTCTCCAAGACACACATTTCGTATATTCTTTGGTTATACTTTATAGCGATTACATCACCTGTTGTAAGACAGGCGAAACTTCTTAAACCATTTTCTAAAACAGCTTTAGGATTTGTAATATCTAAGAAATCTTCGGATTGTGGTTGAAAACGTGAGAACGTTGCAATTTGTAGAGAAACACTTTCAACATTTATCAATTCCGCTTCTTCTACTAACAGATTAAGCATCATCTGTAATAAAGATATTATGGTTTTTACAACTGATCCACATTAATATACGTTTAGAGAAATAATTTTGATTCAAAGTAAACTTTTTAGAAAATAAGAATATAGTTTTGCTTATTACTTACCCAGTATGGTAAATAAACTTTCCCTTCATCGGCAACAAATTCCAAAACACCACAATGAGTTACTCTATTAGTTTTTTTATTGGTCAATTTGAACAGCATTGGATAAATAATGTTCAATCTTGTAAGCTGTTCTAAAGCCGAAGGTGGCATAATTACTGAAAGAAAACAGATATATATATAGTCTTATAACATAAGTTCATAATATTATGAAAGTAATGATTATTCATTCTGAAGACAGTTATAAAAAGGACACTCTTCAAAATTGTTTATAATAATGAAAATTATTGTCGAATTTCTTTATTACATTAACACATTTTACTGTTTGAGGAAGTAAAAAGTTCTAGCTGAACCACATGCTAGAAATGCATTGTTTTCTCAAAATAAGTAAGTACAATTTTAAAGATCCTTAGTTATCAAAAAGCCCCTTTTGTAAGGTAACTTCATCGACGAGAGACAGTGTAATCAATACCATAGTTATCGCAGCGCAAGGTTTTATGTACCAACGAAACTAATGATCTTTTTTACCATAATGTTCTTTGCCGATGGATATCCTTTACCGACAAACCTTTTTACAACACTTTAACGATGTAAGCTTACAAGAAAGTAACTAAAAATTTTCAAAATACTGCGGAACTTATTTCTTATTCTGAGAGAACGGTGCGTCTCTTAACTTATAACTCTTTTAGAATTTCTGGCCTCTCAACGAGTGGAACGCATCGATACAATAAAAAATAATGTAGCAACAATTCTCATGTTTATAAACAATTTTTCAAAACCTGTCTTTTTACAGGTTTCCTCCCAACATATAGATTTTAGCGAATTGCATCTATAACAAATGACTTATCACTTTCTTAACACAGTGTACAAAATGAAAGATGTACTGGCACTAACTTTTTCCTCCACGTTCCACATCTTGTCGATAGGCACCTGGTAACATCGACACAGAGAAACATTTATACTGAGTGTTAAAAGATCGTGGAATCTCCGGAAACATATTAAATCCAAACTGAAAGCGAAAAGCCATTTTGAGAAACAACGTAACCTCACTTTAACATAAATTACGTTAAACAGGGCACAATCCCTCTGTTAATTTTCGTCTCGTTCTCACGATTCTTTTACCATGTTTGCCATATTTGTCTTGCAACTCCTTAGAATATTTATAAATAGCAGTATCGTCGAAAAATGTTAAAATTTAAATAACAGTATAACTTTGACAAATGTGTGTACACTGAGAGCAGACGACTCACTCTTGTTACAACGTGTTGAGCGAACCCACCATATTTAATATTTCGTTGTGTTGGTAATTGTTGCAGTACTAGTTATGTACATTATTTAGTATATAGTGATTTTAAAACGACATGTTTGGTATAACAAATAATTCCAAGTCATTAAAAAGATATAATCGTAATTAATTTTATTGAAAATTAAATTTACATTTTGAGTATTTTTGTTTACATGATTAGATTTTTATGCAATTAGTATAACAAAATGTCGTTTCTTATATTTTGTAACAGAATACATAGTAAAGTTATTGACACGAATGTATCGAGTTACATTAATAATTTGATATTGTATCTACAATTTTGAGATGGGATCTACACTGCCTGCAGTGATGTTATAAAAATAGCATGCAAGGTTAAATGCATTTAATTTAATACTTATAATTGTATGCTGTATCACTTTTTATGAATTGTATATTTAAATATAACAAGGCAAAATGTGATTTTATCCTTTAATTAATGGTATAAAAATATTAAACTATTTTGTGACCTCATGCATAGCATTAGCAAGGTATTCCACATTTTTTGTTGTTACGCCAGCCATGGATATCCTACCATCTTTTGTTAAGTAAATGCTGTAGTCTTTGGTCAGTTTTTCAACCTGTAAGATATTATTGTGAAAATGTAGTTATGAACATTGTACTAAAAGAATTAAAAATACGGAAAATATATAATACCTGATTAGGTTTAAGACCAGTATAGCAAAACATTCCAATTTGATCGGTAATGTGTGACCAGTTTAGAGAACTACCAAGCTTCGTAAGATTGTCGTTTAACTTTTGACGAACAGAAATAATACGATCAGCCATTCCTTTCACCTCGCTAAGCCAGTGCTGCTTTAATTCCGAATTGCCTAAAACTTCATTAACAATTCTAGCACCGTTAATTGGTGGATTAGAATACATTGGCCTAATTAAAATCTTTAATTGTGAAAGAATTCTGTCCGCCTCTTCTTTGCTGGAACCAACCAATGTAAATGCTCCGACACGTTCACCTAAGAAAAATTATTTATGAAGTTTTTGTCTACTGTCATAATTTATGTAAATAACCATTAAATCTACATATTTACCATAAAGACCCATGTTTTTAGCATAAGATTGAGCTAAAGCAATTTTATTTCCATCTGCTAGGAATAATGTAACTGCCATTGAATCTTTTTCTATAGATCCTACAATTTTATATAAATATTATATATATATATATCATCATACATTAATTATTTAATTAATATATATCGTCATACATTAATCTTTTAGGTTTATTATTAGGTTTATTTTAGGTTTATTTATATTATTAGGTTTATTATTTAGGTTTATTATAAACAAGAACGTGTGAAAATAATACCTGAAGCAAAACCTTGGTATGCCATATCAAAGAAAGGGAAAAGATTTCTTCGTTTTACCAGCGCTGATAATTCTTTCCATTGTTCGGGTTTTGGATCAACACCAGTAGGGTTGTGTGCACACGCATGGAAGAGAACAATAGATTTTTCTGGAATTTTCTGCAAATGATAAAGTTTTGAATAAAATTTGTAACTACTCATCATTATTTTCTATACGATTACTAACATTTATATCCTCTAAAACGCCCTTAAAATCTAATCCACACGTGTTCGGGTCAAAATAACGATACGTCTTCACTGAAAGATTAGCAAGCTTAAATACTGGACCATGATTGCCCCATGTAGGTACTGGTACATATATATCTTTAGATCCAGGGAAGAAACGCGAAAGGAAATTTGCTCCAACAAAAAGTGAGCCTGTGCCAGAAATTCCTTGAACGGTAGCATTCTAAAACATATTATTATTTATAATATATAAAAAAATAATTTTTCCTTTATAATTCATAAACATATTACATTGTCCTTACCAAACCGTTTTTTATTGCATCATGACCTTCACCGAGTGCCAAATTAATGCTATTTTTACAAAATTCAGCATTCCCAGATATTGCTGAATATTCCTTGTCCATGTCCTTTTGTTTAATAATATTTTCTGCCTACAACAAATTTGAATTGATAAATAACTAATTTAATAACATCTTTTATACACATTGTACATCTACTACAACTTCATATACATAAAAATTAAATTTTATAATATGTACCTTTCGGATACTTTGTAACACAAATGGTTTACCATTGTCATCCCTATAAGCACCAACTCCCAAGTTAACTTTTTTAGGATTTCCATCTTTTTTATATGCTTCTGTAATGCCTAAAATTGCATCAGGCGGGCCCATTTCTACACCAGACCACCATGAACTGCAACATGAAAAGCCATAAATTAATCCAATATACAGGGTCTCACCTAACATATATATATATAGCTCCAATGACCTATAATGTAATGACCTCTGCATGATCTTGAGTATGAAAAATTCATAAAAGTAGGACAATTGACATAAACAATAAAGTAATAAATAGTGAAGGATGATTGATTTCAGCAAGAATTCAAAATAGTGTCCATTAACTTCAATATGTTAATGTAACCGATTAATAAACAATTCTCTGGCCCCTCTTATAACTTAATCCTATTCTAATCCTAGCTTTCATGTTTTTCAATTTTGTAGGAATGTTGTTATACATTTCTAGCACTAGCTTTGTGAATGTATCATACCCAAGGTTACGTGAAGCTTATGATAATATATATGTACTAATTATTGTACTATACGTATACATGTATCTCGTTTTAATTTTATTTAATAGTACCAATATCTAATATATTACCATTTATTGAATGCATGTAATTTACATAATAAACTTTATCATATGTAAATTGTAGTAAGTTGTAATAGTAAGTATGTTAATATGGAAACTTATGTTAATGGTTTAAGCTTGCCAATATAAAACAGAATAATAATTAATTTATGAATTGCATTTAACTTTTAAGTTATCAATAGTATCGTATACTACTTTAGCAAAGGTTAAAAAGGTCAATTGATTATAATAATTCTTACCTAGATAATCTGATTGTATGTGCAGTAACATTATAATTATTTTTCAATAAGTTACACACAGACGAAAATGTAATGAGCTTTGTGCTTTGTGCCATTTTATATTAATTATTAAGTATAGGCCTATCCTACGTTCCAATCACTCTACTCCAGTGTCTGGATAGTCTGGTCTGGATTTACTTGGATATACTGTGCTGACGTTGACTATATCTAATTTATATGTATGTATGCTCATGCGCGTATTCATACACACCACGATAATGGCGATTTCCTACTTTATTATCTTGAATTTTGCGTATTGTAATGAAAAGTGAATTGAGTAGTTATTTTTTTATTTATAAGTTAAGATTTCATATTTTTTTAAACAGCTCGCTTTTTACGTAAAAATTAGTGGCATTACGTAACACACTAATAAAACTGCACAAATCTGTATTTGCAGTTTTTTCTCCGTAATGTAACGTATGTCGTAATGCAATGCCGATAAAAGAAACAATTACGTAAGTATGAGATCTGTCAAGATTTTAACTTGTTGACTTATGAACACTTAAATCTGGATAACAAGGTCTGTCAAAACTAAACATGAAATTACTCAAGCTCGATGATAACAAATTTAAGTAAATTTAAGTAATGTAAGTTTACGTATGCATAACAAAAGTGTGCCTGCGTTATAACAATTTATTATAGCTTTCATTGAAACATACGAATAGAAAAATAGTTTATAGAAAATCGAACGTATCAAAATTATATTCAAATTACTCGTTAAAGGATTAAAAAATGTATTAATTGCAATATAAATCCTAATAGACTTCAAATAATTGCCTCTAAATAATATTCAGCACTCATAGTAGAAATGGAATATATATATATGCTTGTTGCTGGCGCGACTATTATTCGTGAACTATCGATAACGTTGAGCGCTACACGAAATGGTAAGGGAGCTCTAGAACCCTCCAAAGCTGATAATGAGATAGGAAAGCCCATAAGATGCAATGTCTGTACGAATCGTAAGTCTGAGCTTAGGATCAGGTACTCGTGGGAGTACAAAAGATACAAAGGCCCGTTACATGTACCAAAATGCTTCGAAAAATACCATATAATTCAGGACTATTAATTTTCTGTAAGTTATTTAAAACAATAATAATATAAATTAAGAATATATTCAGAAATTGGAATAAAACTTTATTGTAACTTATAAAATTATAAAACTATTAAAACTTATAATACACCTTCACGGGTCACTAATTCGTGACGTATTAAATAATTCGTTCGTAATTATTTATCAGACAACTTACAAAATTAAACAAATCGTACCTTAGACATGTACATTTTTATGTTCCGTGTGGGTATTAAAAACAGTTGAAATTCGCTCGTAGGAAAACGAAACATTGTCGGCCACTAAAGTAAACCCTCCTATAAAATGGAACTCTCATTACACGGTTTCCGCATAGTGCACTACGATCTGTACAATTCCGAGTTTCTTATAATAACGTCATATTAGGGTTCGAAAATTCGTAATGCAGAGATAGAGGTAGGAGTCGCCGAGCATTGTTGTGAACTATACCCCTGGAGTAACTTGTTACCTGGAGTAACAAAACACATTTTAGAACGAAATAACTTTGATGAACACGGTAACGCATTTGCCACTTTTTTAACATTTTATTGAATTCTGTGGAAGATCCGGCTTTTACGGATAATGCCATCTTTGAATAGCATAGACTTCAAGATTCATCTGATGAGCAGTGTCTAATTATAAAAATATATGTACATATTTCGTGCTACTAAAGATCCAAATGTTAAAGTCTGTTCGATTCTTTTAACTTTCTAATACCTTAAATTGCAACTACTACAATTCTCCCATAAATGCATAAAATACGCAAGACTATTCGTCATCTTCTGTATCTTCGTCTTCTGCCGACACGTCGATAACATTTGGAGTTTCTAATTTCCGCTTGAATTCATTCACGTAGCTGAATAATCGTTTATCGTCTTCGACCATCTGAAAAGAAGAATGTTAATATGTTAACATTGAGAGGGAATAATTTCTAAAATTATAATTGAAATCCGATTTTCTATTTTGACCAAATAAGTACACTTACCATTTCAGCGACCTTATCGATGGCGGATACTAGATTTTCTTTAGTCGCATTATCTTCAAATTCCAAATGTAAATTTCTCAAGGATTTAATAAGAACCCCGCGGCTAATGCTGCTCATTGGATTCAATACTTCCGCCAATATAACGAAAACGAGACTGTTGTGAGGACAATAAATCCCAGATTTGCTACATTTAAATCTAGTTAAGCTCAACATGAATTTGGAAACTTCATAAGGATCAATTTCCTGCAAGGGGCTGGTTTCAGGTGCATTGCATATAACTTGTAACGTCGGTAAATAAGCCTCCTCGAACATTTGATGCGCATCCGGTACTCGTAACAGGAAGTTGTCGAAGAAACCACTCAAACATTGCCGTAGGTAATAGTCATTATCGTTCACAGGGTTATACGATAGAAGAATTAATCTTGATAACAAAATCGAACTGCTTATTCGACGATTTAGTAACAGTTTGCAAAGACCTTCAGTGGCAATCGTGCGTATACCTTGATCCTGTGATTTGCAAAAATTCTATGGTATACAAAACATTCATTGTATTATGCATAATTAATTATACATATGTACATACCGTGTTGTCCAATAACCCTGTCAAAATTTTGATAAAACTGTGATTGCCTTCCTCTGTGTTGGAGTGTTGTGCCGATGACACAGAAATTTCGTCATTAGTATCGGTGTACAGTCTCACGGTGCGTGATTTTTCAGTTCTGTTGGTAGTCACATCTTCACTTCCTAACATATCAAAATATTCAAGTCCGTAAAATAACAAGAGATCAAAAATTCCTTTCAATGTCATGGTCCAGATCTCCGGATTTTCTTGTTCCAAAGAGAATTGCAGAAACAGCACCATAATGTGTTTCCTAGCAACTTCTTTATCCAGTACACAAAAAATACCGAGTGCCTTTATTGCGAGAATGTGAACTTTGTCATCTGGATGCTGAAAACAAAAATGACATTTCCAATCTGAAAACAAGTAAAAGTCAGGAATACTCACGTCTAAACTGTCCAGTGTTATTTGCATCATACTTCTAATGGTCGGTGTTAACGAGGTCACTGACTGCATCATGGTGCATATTATGGTTAAACATTTGATCATTGTTTCCGAATCAGTTTTCTCCTTCATTTCCTCCATAACTGTTACAAGCTGAGGTTCTTCCGACAACTTCATGATCTCTCCATTTAATGTATCGATCTCGTTCTTCAATTCATCAGCTCTCAAATACTGTTTGTTCTGTATAGCTTGATATTCCTCTTCCTTCAGTTCCAACAATTTGACTTTAAGTTTTGCTCTCTGCGGAAACCATATTCAATTAATAGTGTATTAATATTCGTATTACTAAAATTTCAATTATGCAATCTTACTTTCAGAGTAAGGTCGTGCTGTTGTTTTTCAGAAATTTGTATATTCTGTGTAGCTTCTTTCAGAGGCAATCTTATATCGCTGATTATATTGGCCAATGCATCCACTCTAGTATTTGTATCCGGTATAACTTTCTGCAAATGTGTAACCACGCATTGAATAATTTTTTCAGACCAGTGGGTGCTCATCAATGTATTACATATTAATTCATCCAATTTCTTCCTTCCAACTTCATCGGACAGATCATACGTAGTTACAATCTCGAACAATTGTAAATGAATGAACTGTTGCATGTGTTTCACCCACGCGTCATTTTGATCTGTTGATATTGATACTATGTAATCTGAAATATATGTGCAAAACGTGGATAATTCTGGTAAAATCATCTCCAGCTGTTCCACAGAAGATTCGCGATGAAAATGTTTTATTAAACACCTCCAGTAAAATATATTCTCACTGGTCAATTTATCAACTGGGATTAACTTTGTTTCTTTATTTATTGGCAATTGTTCTATCAACGTAGTTACTGCACTCTTCCTAAATAAATGAAAATTAAATATTATTTGAGATAAGTATTTCATTTCTCTAGATGTTTTTAATATCATTAAAAAAACAATGACAGCATCAATAGCTTACTTAAATAATGTTTCCAAAGCCATTGATGCTACATCCGTTCCAATTTCAGCATCAAGAGCTTTCACCAAACCAATAAAATCACCATTAAAGTGTCGTAGCCATGACGGCAACAAAATATTCTCCACACACTTCCTGACTATTTCCGATCTATCTTTCAGGCCATCATTCAATAATTGATCTCTCTGTGTAATAGTCAACGATCTCACTGTAATTTTGCTAAGAAATTCATAAGCCATTTTACGTACTCCTTCATTGACATCTCTGGTACGTTTTAATGCCACTTGTAACGTATTTTTATTTTTTCCCATACTCAATAATGCAGCTTTACGCACTTCAGCATTTGGATCTTTTGAAGCATGAAATATATACATTTTTATAATTGGACATTCTTCGTCTGATGGATCTTGAAGTCTGTGCAATGCTAAAATAGCTTGGGCTCTGACTTTCGGCGACTTATCCAGCAAACGGTCCATCATAGCAACAGTTATTTTGTCACAGAGAACATCGTCTACAAATGCCTGGTCTCCCATGGAATTCAATAAAATATTTAAAAACTGGCAAATACGAAATCTCACAGCTGGATCCGTAGCATTATGACTCGTTAGAAGGAAATCGAACATTTTAACGAGGAAAGGGCACAGCGGTTCTTCTTCTTCTCCATCCTCATTTGAAACGGTATATAAACAGACAGCAAACTTGGCAACAAATTCCAAAGTGTTCTGAACTCTTGGATGCTTTTCTGCAATGCTGAGGGGAACTCTGAAGTTCTGGACAAAAGAATTCCAGAAAGCTTGGAATTCCGTCTGCAATCAATTTAAATAGAGTTAATTTAATAATATACAATATTTAAACTTATGATAACATTTTCGTAACTTATTTTAATACGTTACAATACCTTCTCGTAATGTTTCTTCAAAAGCTTCAAATTACTTTGATGACAAGTTTTATTGAATTGAACATTGTAAAATATTTCACTTAACGAATTACTGAACTTCTGACTCATGCTTACAATAAATTAACTAAAATTAGGTAAAAAAATAACTTTATTAATAATATGTAGGAATGAAGATCTCGCTACATAAAGTAACGTTAACGTTTCACATTCAAACACATTGTCATATCTACGGCCCTTCCGCCTGAAGGTAACACCACCATTGCCAACCGTGTGGCGATGATGATCGTGAGAGAGATAGAACGAAACCAAACGGCTCTATGGTGTGTCCACAGTGATGTTTGTAGGAAATATTTCGACAAGTTGAGCAGGATCAGGCCCACCTAATTGTTGCATTGTTCCGAGTGTTAGCGCGAGAGAATCGATGAATGTTGCAAGTGAATGATGCAAACTTCATATCTTTCTCTGGTGGATGTTTATTTATTCGAAATACGATCCATTTACATCGAGATTTGAATACCACCTTCGCGAACAAAGTGTTTATTCCGTGAAAAAGATTTGTATAAATGTTTAAAAAAAAAATTAAAATTTATTGCAAAACTGGTAACAAACTAATACATACGTAACGATTTAAACCAGGGTTGCACAATTAACTGCACATGACAGACAGAGCATTTTTGAAGACTGCTCTGAAATGTGCCGCAGGCGAGATCTCACAAATGAGATTGGATGTGGCCATGTTTACAATAAATTTCAGAACAGACCCTGAAAATGCTTTGTGTTTCTGTCATGTGCAATTAATTCCCAGCCCTGATTTAGACAACGTAATTCCGTCGTTCTTGATTGTCGGTTTAGGTTAAGGTTAATACTTTGCGTCGGCGGAGTCAAGAATTCTGTTTGGAAACTGTTCCGAGTGGTGCAAAGGAAATCACGCAAATGTGATTGAACAATGCCAATGAATTATAGCAGTAATCCAGTCTCATCAACAAATCACACCAAGAGAACGCAGAAACTCCGTCATGAACCAAGGGTTTTGTGACTGGAATACTGGCAGCAAACAGTACATGCGCACTCGCCCATAGAGCCAGTTAGTTTCGTTCTGTTTATCTCGATTATTACCACACGGTTGGCAACAGTGGTGTCACCTTCCCGCGGACGGTGATACCACTGCATACATATGACAACGTGTTTGAATTTGCAATTTATTTCTCTATTTAATCTTAGTTAATTTATCGTAAGCATGAGTCAGAAATTCAGTAGTTCGTTCAATTAAATATTTTACAATGTTCGATTCAATAAAATTTGCTATCATAGTAACTTTAAGCATTACTAAAATGTATACTTCTGTTTGCTATACTGTATCTTTGCAAGGAGCATAACAGTCTTCTAAAGAATAATAACAAGAAAACTTGTTAAAAATACAGAATTTGCCGTCAACTTTTTATATATATATATAATATTATATATATATTATATTATATATCTTATATACAAAAGTGAATAAGTGGAACAATCAACGCAAAACGTAGTCCTTTATGAAGAGATGTTTGAATTATAACGGAGATATCCTAGTATATAGGAATGGGGAATATAACAAACTGGAAATGGGGGGTTCCCGAAGTCATTTGAAGTAACTTTATCCTTAGCGAAAATACAACAGATGGCTCTGAAATGACCGAACCAATGAGCGGAACTAGGCTTCATGCGCTCGTTGATTGGGCCGCCGCGTGCCAGCTGATTTCGCCTCTCATTGGTCAGTGTTTCTTCGTTAATAATTCGTAAACAAAGGCACGCATTGCATTTTCGCTAAAGGTAAAATTATTTCAAATGACCTCGGTCTATTTAAATTATTACTAGATATTTCTATACCATTAGAAAATAACAAAATATCCTGAAAACTACATAACAGACAATTAGTCTAGAAAATAGCAAAATCTTTTGACTACTATTACAATCTTATTATCTAAAGAACTTCTTACCAAAGGATTTTAAATAGACGAAATAAATAATTTAAGAATATTTTATTATATAAACTACTGATGCATTAACAATTCTGTACTTGTACGTCAAGAAATTGCGCATATCGCATAACTAGTTAGAATTAATAAAAATATTATATTTGTAAAAGATATACATATAAGATAATATACACATATGTACATATCACATTACAACTTAGTTCTTTCGGAAGCAATAAATAAAATGTTTATATTTTTCACATTAAATTTAGGTAAGACTAACCAGTCAGCAACAATTAAATTATAACGTTCATTCTTTAATGTAAAAAATATAGAACTACTTAAAGTAGTAGTTAAATGTATAATGATCCATCCGCTGGACCTAAATATCTCACAGCAATGAGTATAACATCGACTACTGTCCATACACCAAATCCTCCAAAAGTTAACAGCTTTCCAATTCCATCATGCCAGTGACCCAAATAAAACCTACAATGGATATTATTCAAAAATGGATATTTGTACTTTGAAGATCTGAAAATTCTTCGCAACATTTTATACCGATCAGCTCCGAAACCTCCTAAAGTAATGCTTAAAATCAAAGCGGTAGACCATCGGTATCCTACAGTCCAGTTGCACAGTAAATTTTTCATGAATTTGCGTCTACCTAGACACAGAATGTCTCCGTTCACTGTACAATTTGTTCTATAGTATTGTCGAGGAGATGCCACAGAACTGCAAGAATTCTTCTGCTGACAGTAATGCTCCCAATGTTCTGTTTGATAACAATAACGGCAAATGTACTTTTTTTGGAAGTTTTGATTGCCCTGAAAGATTAATTCATCAATTATTGTTGCAAATATAAGCAATACTATGATATTATACGTATAATTGTTTTGCTTACGATACAATCGATTTGGTCTAAGACTGTACAATTTGCGATATACACTGCTCCATATACGCAGTTTGGATTTAGATTACAATTTAAACATTCTCCACCTAGTTCTGAACATACAGTACCACTCGGACATGATCCAGATATCTCATCCTATAAACACAGCAATTATTACATACATATTTGACAAACTACTAATAATAAAATATTTTGTATATACCTTTTTACTACTGTATGCTGGCGTAGAATTTACATTGACTTCTTTCATCATATTATTGACCACGCTTTCTGCAATAAAGTAATACTTGAAAATACATCAACAAAAATGATATAGAAAGACATCTCTAAATTCACCAAAATTACCATATGCCATGGAAGCTTGTTTTACAGTGATCAACAGAGTCGCCAGAAAAATGAGAATCACATTTTTTGTGTTAGTATGTATAATATTCATTAGGAACAACCTGCCACTTAATTATTTGAAACAAAACATAGCTTCTCTTTTCCAGTTGGATGAATTTAATATTTTAAAAAAAGAAAACGTTGTGAAAACAACTGAATACAGATCTTAATAGGATACTATTAAATTTTTTAAAAATAATTATAGTACAAAGGAATAAAGAAAATCTTTAAATTCAATCTAGGTCAAAACAATACAACGGGTTATTCGAAGGATTAACGCTGTCAAATCTTTCGTAAGTCTTAGCTACGTAATACGTTATAAGTTCATCTTCATTGATAGATATTCCAAGGAAAATTTCTATATAGTTTCTCATGGAACGAATCATGTTTCAATACTTCCACCGAAAATGCTTAAAAGTTATATGCAAATCGTGCGTATCTATCACAAGGTACACAACCTCTGCACAAATTAGTTGATATCTTTCTCGTCAGTAATATAATAATGAATTGTAAAACTGTTTTTCCAAATTGACAGTCTTAGTAGTAGTTTTCTTTGTAACAAGCTTTTATAAGCTTTTATTTCTAATTGTAAGAACAAAATATTTAAAAGCAGTATCACATGATGTTGGAAACTACGAGCATGCGTTTCGGCTTGTTTTAATTGTGGAATCGTTATTATTCGATCGAACATGTTTCTACAACTTGATTACGAAATATAGCAAAATTTAACTTTTATTATTAATCGATGATAAGATGTTTACATTGTTGGCTGTACTTTTGAAAGAGATCGAAAATCGAGACGAAATTCGGAGGGTTTCGAAAAACTAGTAATTTCCAAGTTATTCACAAAAATCTCTTAATTCATTCATTACTAATAAATAAATGTACAATAATATATATAAAATAATATAAATAAATAAAATATGTATAATAATACATGTACACTTTATTAGATCGATCTACACCTGCTAAAACACCTAGTAGTGGTGTGTCAATGAATAGGAGTTTGGGTATTATAGGATGAGTAATAAAAGACGCAAATTATTAGACCAAATGTCCTCTTATTTTCTTTAGAGTAACATATATTTAATGCTCGTGTGTAAAACAATCGATTAAATATATTTAAAGGAAGTAGGTACGCGGTTTCCTTACACTGAAGAGTGGCATACGATTCTTGTGTTGAATGCGTTTAGGTAATGGGAACTTGATTTTTGAGTCGTGAAATTGTTTCACTTGTGGTCTCCTGCAGTTGGCTGCCTTTACCATTTCTACTTTAATGATTTGGATAGAATGTGCACGAGCACGATGACGGGCACCCATATCTCTATAACACTGTGTTACAGCACCACTGACAGAAAGATCTCTGTATTCTCTGTACATATTATGAGTCCCAGATCTTGAATCGTACCTCAACCAAATTCCAAAATTCTTAATTTTTATAGGCGTCTTCTCTGAAATCTAATCGTTAAACCATCAAAATTTGTAATTTTACGATCAATTAACAATTGCTGTAGACGACATTTAGATTGTTTATTTACCTGTTTAAGAGNGATAGAATGTGCACGAGCACGATGACGGGCACCCATATCTCTATAACACTGTGTTACAGCACCACTGACAGAAAGATCTCTGTATTCTCTGTACATATTATGAGTCCCAGATCTTGAATCGTACCTCAACCAAATTCCAAAATTCTTAATTTTTATAGGCGTCTTCTCTGAAATCTAATCGTTAAACCATCAAAATTTGTAATTTTACGATCAATTAACAATTGCTGTAGACGACATTTAGATTGTTTATTTACCTGTTTAAGAGATACAATTTCTCCAGTAGACTTTTTGAATTTTTTGAGTTGACGCAGAAAATACCAAAATCTGGATTTTGCGACAATAGCATCGGGCGCAAATATCCTCATTTTATAGAGAGGTGTGGTTTTCTCCTTTTCGGTCGGCAATTTACGACCGATCACTTCAAACTCCTTCAACTATGAAAACAAAAATAATTATTATTCAATGTAATAAATTTATTTAATAACTTCAATACCTATTGTAGTGAAATTATCAACTGTAATCACGTATATTAGTACCCTCCATGAAGACAAAATATTTTAATTTTCTACGTAGAATATAAAACTAATCTATTTAGTCTATTATCAAGACTAATATCTAAATCCAGTTCGAACATGTGTCGGAGTCGGTCATAGAATCATAGGTTAAGTGAATATAAAACATAGTACGTTTTACCTGTTTTAGTTAAATTATTACGACATGCAAGTTTAAAATATTAAGAATCATATTTCCGCTGGAAATATTCATGGTTTTTCTAGTTGAATTTGTAATATTTACTTACTTCTCCTTTGGCTTTCATTATACCATGCGTACAGTGTCACAATAAACCGGAAAAAGAGGGCACTTCGTTCGTGCAAACAACGTTTCCTTATATTCCTAGTTTCGTTCGTGACTTCGATAATTGCGAAATTATTGATTGCTCACGAACCTCTTTGTCGAATATAATATTGATTGTTGGTCGTCCTAGTTGACATGTATTGTAATGGATGGATTAACAAAATTTTGTAGATTCATCAGGTAGAAACCAGAGCTTGAATTTAACTGTGTAAACTTTCATAAATATAGGTTATCTAGTAAACTTTTCAAATTGTCAACTGTTTTAATTGTAACAGTTATTTTATATTTGATCAATGAAAGTTTTGAAAGAACATTTATCTCTTAACAGATATTTTAAAGTAATCAACAAAAGTTTATACTATTTTTCAGTTATATACACTTAGCATTATTTAAGGAATTGAATGTAGGATAAATACGTATAGATGAGTGGAATACACCTGTCTCGTGTGTTAAAAATGACACGGATCCGAACACGCGACATTTATTTTCAGGTGTACACGTGAGATATTTATTTCAAACAATTCGAATAATTTCAAACCCTGCCTCTCGGGTCCGCCATGCCGAGCAGTTCATACCCCCAAATTGCCGGCCACGAAATGCGCAAGAAGAAAATGGTGATACGGGCCATTTTGGTCAGTGTAAACAAATGTTCTAACTTTTGTGTAAAATTTCCTCTTGCTGGAAGTACATATCGTATTTACCGTTATTGTTTGGCTACATTAGACCATTGGACTAGTACCGAGCATTATGGTACGAAAATAGTGTAGTTTACTATGGAAAATATACCAGGAAGTGAGGTTAGTATTGTTTTCATTTGATGATTAGTAATGTTTATTTATCAGAAATAGTGAAGTTTACTATGGAAAATATACCAGGAAGTGAGGTTAGCGTCCTTTTCACTTGAAGATGCAAAGCGTTATTTACATTTGATTTTTTCAAATAAATAGCTAATTCATTTGATAAAGAACAATTTTTTATCAATCGCGAATTTATATAACTATATCTGATTAATAATGTTTATTTATTGATATTGAATGCAGAATCAACAAATTCCTCATTCGATGCCACCAATGATGAGCATCCCTCCAAACAGTAACCATGGAGTTCCAGGGATGGAGCATCCTAAAATGTTACCCAGTTTATTGAGCCTAAAGGTCAGTCCACCAAGCGAATTACAAAATCAAAATTCGGTGGATGACGGAGAAAGAGAAGCAGATGGTGATTCAATGAAACTACCGGCAGCTTTAGAACAGGCTCTAGCTTTCAAAACTGAGAGAGCCAAAGAGGTAGGGGCAGATCCAAACGATATAGCTTCATTAGAAAGGTCATCTAATCATGAAAATGTAAGGGAAGATGTGACGCAATTAGATGACGTAATAATTGAACCTGAAGCAGCAATGGAGAAAACAGATGCAAAGTCGAATAAAACTAAAAAGAAGAAAAAGAAAAAGAGGAAAAAGCATAATATAAGCAAAGAGGCAGAAAATAAAAAAGACGATATAGAGAATTCGAAACCTAATCAAGATATGCCAGAGATTGTATATATTCAGGAGATTCCCAGTATCAACGATTTAGAGCCAATGTACCGTCAGTTTGCTAGAATCTTTGAAGCGTTCAAATTAACTGAACCTGAACCAAAGTCTGCTGAAGCAGATAAAGGTGAACCGATAGGACAGTATCCTCCTATAACAAATTTACAAACAACAGGAACTGTACCTAGCAAAGTACCACCGTTGGATGACTTTGACGACGATGCGAATCAACCGCAACAACAGCAGGGAACCGGTGAAAATGGTGCTCCACGTCTTTCCAAGAGAAAACTAAAAAGGCTAACACGTTTGAGCGTAGCAGAACTGAAGCAACTGGTAGGTCGTCCCGATGTCGTTGAAATGCACGACGTTACCGCCAGGGATCCGAAACTCCTTGTACAATTGAAAGCTCACCGCAATACAGTGCCTGTGCCGAGGCACTGGTGTTTCAAGAGGAAATATCTCCAGGGCAAACGTGGTATCGAGAAGCCTCCTTTCGACTTACCAGACTTTATAAAACGTACAGGAATCACCGAGATGAGAGCGAGCCTGCAAGAACGAGACGATACACGCACATTAAAAGCCAAAATGAGGGAAAGAGCGAGACCCAAGCTTGGCAAAATAGATATTGACTATCAGAAACTGCATGATGCGTTCTTCAAGTGGCAAACGAAACCTCGTATGACTATTCACGGTGACCTGTACTACGAGGGCAAAGAATTCGAGACTCGTTTGAAGGAGAAGAAACCTGGAGAACTGTCCGACGAATTGCGTACTGCGCTCGGTATGCCGGTGGGACCCAATTGTCACAAAGTTCCGCCACCGTGGTTGATCGCTATGCAACGTTACGGACCGCCACCGAGTTATCCAAATTTAAAGATACCCGGTTTGAATGCGCCTATACCCGAGGGATGCGCGTTTGGATATCATGCTGGTGGCTGGGGAAAGCCTCCTGTGGATGAAACTGGACGACCTTTGTACGGAGACGTGTTTGGAATCTCTCGTGCACCAGGTGGCGATGCGATGGACGAGGAGATCGACAGGGGCATGTGGGGCGAACCTGAATCAGAATCGTCCGGAGACGAAGACGAGGACGAAGATGCGGAGGAAGGCGGAGGAGGTGAAGGAGAAGGAAAGGAGACAGACGGAGATGCGAGCGGGTTGGTTACACCCGGTGCAGAAGGTTTGATAACGCCGAGTGGAATCACGTCGATCCCTGCGGGCTTGGAGACACCGGAAACAATCGAGTTGAGAAAAAAGAAAATTGAGAGCGAAATGGAAGGCGGAGACACGCCTGCTTTGTACACGGTTCTGCAAGAACGACGAACAGAGGGTCTTGGTGCCAGCATGATGGGCAGCACGCATGTATATGATATGACAGGCGCTGCAGGTGGTCAAGCACCTCCATCGGTGATCGCTGCACGACGCGGTGTAAGCGGGACAACATCGGATGGAAGGACAGAGAAAGATGGAGCCGTTGAACTGGCATTGGATCCGAGTGAGTTGGATCTAGACTCTGAAGCAATGGCATCGCGGTACGAGGAAACTATGCGGTCACGTCAGGCTCATTTGAGGAGAGAAGATCTTTCGGACATGCTTCAGGATCACGTACAACGACAAAAAGTAAGTGTATATGTAGATTATTAATAAACTAATAAACTAATAATAAGCTACTTAACGATGTTAACGTAAAGAATTTCTTTTGCAGAGCAAACGCAAACGGCAACAAGGTCAAGACTCGAAAGCTTCGAAGAAGTATAAAGAATTTAAATTTTAGATTTAATAAATATGTAAATTATAAAAATGAAGATGTTTTACTTTGTCGGAGAGACATTACCCGTACCGAATTCACTAATCACTACACTGTCATGTTCCTTAGAATTATTCTAATTTTACATTGTGGAAAAAAGTAAATGCAGTAACTGTTTTAAAACTAAACAAAATGATTCGAATTTTTTTATGTTGTTAAGAGGACTTGAGTTTACTTTATAATGATCAAAATACTTTTTTCTTTTGATTCTACTACATAAGTGAGAAGAAGCTTTCATTTTTTAACTCGTTTTATCTGAACTTGGAACGAAAATGTAAAAAATTTGTTTTCCAGATCTCGGTAACTCAGAGAAGTTCCCAAAATTATGGTACTTCTGGGTAATGAGAGGTTCCTGAGGTCATTTGTAGTAATTTTCCTTAGTGAAAATACAATCCGTGGCTTTTTTTGAAATGTCCTGAGGAACCCCTCATTTCCCTGAAGTTCCATAATTTTGGGACACCCTGCATATAGCCCGCGGTGGCAATTGGTGTCCGACAAAAATCCCTAGAAGTGCGCACTTAGGGGAATGGCTTGCTAGCGCCATCGATCCCATAATACAATTGCACCTGCTGGTCATTCTGATTTTAATGTTGAATAATTTCTTTGATCTTCTGACGATCGGAAAGAAGATAAAGGTTTCATTTGAAACTATATAATATATGACGATAAAACAATTCGATGTATGTTACATTGACATTGCTACGCTACAAATGTACACACGAACGAATGTATATGTTAATAATCAATTTAAAAAGTGTCGAATTTATTAACAAGTTAAACCTCGATCGAACGTGATATTGAAACAATTAAATACTTCGATTTTTCAGTAATTCATTTGTCAGATAAAATACCAACGCATGTATTATCGTAACGAATTGTATTTTTTTCCCGAACTCCTTAAATAGCCGCCTCTTTTAAATGCGATATATGTACATTCCCTTTTGTGATCGTTGTATCGTTGCGCATTTCGAGATGACACTGTGGAGAAAAGTGTACTAATCGCAAATAAAAAATTCATCGGGCATTCATGTAGAATGTAAACGATCGAATATTCTATTGACGAAGTACCTGTCGGCATGCGATCGAGAAATATAATTTTATAATACGGACGGTTTTGTGAAAGAAACATTCAGAATTTGTACAGCAGCTGACACATATAAAGATGGCTAAGCTTAATACAAACAAATAGTGACCAGCGATCTGCTGGTCTTACAACTAGCTCTGCATGTAAATGGTAAGTAAATATGATTCGTGCGCTTAACATCGAAGAACGATCCGTTTTCTATGATTATTTTTATACTGCATTCCGATGCTGTTAATTACCACGAGTTATGAAGCGGTGCATGGACACCTGTCCTGACCTGCTCAATAAGATCTCCCAATTACGTCAAATTTATAACAAAATTTATGCTCGTTTCTATTTTTAGTAACTGATATTCGTATTCAAGTTAACAAATCGTTTCGTGATTTTATCGAAATTAATCTGACGAACGATAATAGCAACATATATTGAATTAAAATTTCATTTCAAACAGAAGAGTTGATTACTATGATATATACTAAAATTTTTCAAAAGCTATTCACTATAGCTGTTAAAATAATATTTCTTCTGTGTATTCGTGCAGGTGTTAGTCATAATTTGTAATTTATTCTTACCTCATGTCTATTGTATATATTCTTTTGTAGACAAATACTAAAAAGATTTACTTAATGGTTTCCTAAATATGGCTTATGACCCACGCGATTTAAAATATCCACCGGACATTCATAACCATCAACACAATCAACCTAATATGAATGGATACGCATATTCTGGACATCCTTCGCATCATGTCCAACAAACGGATGAGAATAGAAACGAGAATACTTGTGGAAATAAAGAAGCATGTCCACAAATTACACGTCAGTCTTCTGGAACGCAAACCATTCAGAAAGTAGACGCAGCTACAATGACAGATCCATTACAAATAGATTTTAAACTTACATCTGAGTATTTAGCAAGGTGTTCTAATACATTAGGATTACCATATGTAAGTAAATATGAAGAAAATGGGAATAACTCTACGCATAATTGTCAAGAAGTTCGGCCAAAAATTGAATACGAAGTTGAACCACAACATATAAATGGTAAAGTATACTTGTTTTAGTTTCGCATAGAGTTGGGCATTAATTTATTAATATTTAAGACAATAATAAATTTGAGCTTAATGGTTTCGATTAACCCTTGTATAATCCTCGAAAATAGTTGTCAAAAAAAGATTTTTTATTAATATTCATCCTTTGTTGTTTTATACTTCAATTCTATCAATCGTGGGGATTAGTAATAATCCCAGATCTCAAACAAATATGTCAAATTACAATATAATAATAGAGAAATATGAAATTGTGCAGGATCGGAAGCACAAGATGTGTGAATTTTTATCCAAGAAATGTATGAGAATAAAAAGGAGTTAATTACAAAAGATCGCAGTTGATTTAACTGTTCGCTAAATTGATAATGAAATTACTAACAAATTGCAATGAAATGTCGATGAATGTGTGAACATTGTGCACTGTATTCGACAGTTGTGTACTCAAATATTTATTCCAGAATAAAAAATAATAATAATTATTAATCTAATCGATTGGTTAATCTACTTCTTACAAGTAACTGTCTAATCATTAATCATTAACTGCATTACTCATCTCCTATCTCTGATTTTGCAGTTAATATCAGCTACATATGTTCTTTAATATAATCTTGATTCTAATTGTAAGTATTCTAAATGTTTCAGGTACATTAGTCTATCATTGTCCAGAATGTGCGTACAGGTTTGAAGATCAAACTGCATTGCACGAACATCTTGAAGAACATAGACAGCGACCTTATATCTGTGATATTTGTGGTGCAAGTTTAAAGCGTAAAGAACATTTGGATCGCCACAAACAAGGTCACAATAAAGACAGGCCTTATCAATGTAATATGTGTTGTAAAGCATTTAAACGTAACGAGCACCTTGCTCGTCACATGATTATACACTCGGGTAGCAAAAATCAAGTATGTACAGAATGTGGCAAAGCTTTTTATAGGAAGGATCATTTGAAGAAACATTTACAAAGTCATAATAGTAGTAAAAGCAAAAATCCAAATAGTTCACAAAATAATCCGAATAGTCAAAATAACGGTGAAGAGGGATTAAGCAGTTTTGCAATGATGATGAGGCAGGCTGGGCCACCTCCATTTTCTATTTTGCGAACTTAATACATTTTTACCTTGATCTTACGCCAAGATCATTTTAGAATTTAGGCAATTTAAATGTAAGAGATCAATACAATGAGCTTTGTTGAAGACACTTTCAGGAAATATGAAATAATTGTTGATAGTTTTGAATTTTTGCAGTTGATTAGTCATCAAATATTACCTGCAAATAGTGTACGATATGAAACAGGCTCTAGGACATCCACGCAAATTTTATATTTCTCTTTTGAATATGCTTCTGACATGCACAATGTTGTTGAAATACCTGTTGAGAACATTCTTTAGATCTAGATTTATTAAATTATTTTTCCCAGTTTTTGTATTTTCGATAATATTTGTCAAGAATTAAGGCAATAAGGAATACAAAAAATTAATATAAATTGATCGAATTTTAACTCTTCTTTTTTTTTTTTTATTTTTAAAGAAAAAGAGGGAATGACGCAGATATTTTATGACGAAGTGCACATATGATTCTTGTTGTACCCATGATGTACGAAAGGAATATATATTTATTATTACACCTGTAAAGGAAAGAGGAATTATATGAGTTTCTCTTTCCCGTTACAGCAACGGCTACTGGGAAATAATTGGATGATGTGCCTAACGAAAACAACATATTTGCACAAAATAAGGAGAGAATGATTAAAATAACTGAGTCTCGTATAAAGAGACGTATTTTTTTTTAATTTGAGAAAGAAAGAGGAACCATTGCATAGTTCTCCTAATAAAATATCTTTTTTCCGAAAGATTAATATGATTTATTTAATTTCGACGGCTTTGATAGCTAAAATAGTTTAAAAAAAAAAAGACTAGAAATCTTGTTACGGGATTTGCGATGTTCCTTTGAATTTGAAATCGAAATGAGGAATAATTTTGGAATTTGAAACTGAGATAGTCATTATTTCCGTAGCAGATTATCATCAAGTGATGAATACTAAGACTAAACATACGTTAAGCATTTATTTAATATTTATAGTTTATATGATGCGTATGGTTGCGTATGTTATTATTGTATGTGCGTATATGTACACTCACAAAGAATGCTTTGATCCCATTGGTATGCTTTGTTAAGAATCATTTTGATTCTCTAACTTTTATTTCTTTGGTCTCACCTCTCTGGTTAGACTGTTTGGCCAGGTGGGGTCACGTACACTTACTCCGGCAACCTGCGCTATATGTTTATTGACAAATGCTGAAACTACTGCCAACTTTTTGCCAATGAGATGGGGTCCAATCATCTGAACTCCTGAGTATTGCGAACATAAAGAGATGTAAACTCAGCACATTTTCTTCTGTTTGTTTAGTTGAATCCGTTTATCTGGACGCGAACCTACCTGGTTATACGAACTAGTTGTCTTCCGCCGAGTTCATCATGGTTTACTTAATCGGCATGATGTCCTTGTGCATTCGCACGGACACTTCCAGGAGTATTGTATCTTCCTCAGATATCCGAATGCTGCATGGGAACTGTATCTTTCTCTTATATTGAAGAGGAGATGCACATCTTCCACCCCTTTCAACGTATCATTCAATTTTACTGCCTCTTTCTCCTTCATCGGAGCCCTAAAGTTAGTATCAAAGTGGCTAGAGATCTCCGCAATAGATGAGATCAGCTTTTCGGCTGACTCCACCTGGCTAGTTTTCTGTTCCAATCTGAATCTCCCTATCGGGGCTTCAAGATATGCGATTCCTTTAGGAGCAAGTTTCCGGAGGAACTCTGGGATCACTTTGCGTTTGCCTTGTGAGGCCTATCCCTGTCATCGGAGGCATTTGCAACATCCTGTTTAGTTTAGGATGTTCATCCTGATCGGTTTAGGAATAGGATTCTGATTCATGCGATGAAGGTTCCGGTGTCGAAAACAGTAAGCCTGCGTCGCTTAGAAACCCCAGTTTTGGAACAGGAGGCAGCTGACTTTGATTTTCCCTTACTATTAGTAATTCACTAGGAGCCTGCCTTCTGATATCGATGTCCAAGAGTAGTGACAATCTTTTGTTGCCGGTGCTCATTTTGAAATTGTAGATTTCTGAGATGGAAATATATTTTTCCTTCCTGTGTGTATATATGTACGAACGCGCGCGTATAATATATACTACATGTTATTATGTTATATATTATATATTATGCGCACATTTACGTATGATATTGTTACTTCAATTTTTTTCCTTGTACATTATTTATATTTATTAAGAAAACTGACCATATATCGGCTTCATTATGTAATGCTTCCAGAATGTACATAATTGTACACAGAAACACACAGGCATATAAAATATGGTAAAAAAAACCGTTTTGTTATTGATTGTAGTAATCACGATTAAAATAATAAATGATTATTACATGAAACAATAAATTTTTTAAACATAGATCTACACAATTATTATTTGAAGAATGCTCGCGAGAGGGCGTAGAAATCTTTTTAAGTGTTCTATTTTTAAGATTGTAAAAATTCTTGTTCCTTGATTATGCATTTTCTCTTTCTACTGGAATTCTATGTAGCAACGAAGTAAAGTACAGCATGCTTTTGGAACAGTCTCTTTATTGTCTTGAAAAAGATGTTCGTATACATGTATTGTTCTTTCTTTATTACACCGTGTTTATTTCAGTTACATCGAATTTGACAAGAAACAAATTACGAAATAAAGAAAAAGGGAAGACATGAAACAAAAATGAAGTAACGGAAACATATCACATACGCTACTTTTCTAACCTTAATTTCTTTTTATTTTATATTTAAAGCTAAAGACGATAGAGAAATGTAAACATATACATAAAACTGATGTACAGTGACGGCCATGTACTTAAGACCACTTTGAAAAACGTGGTAACGATTATGTTCTCTACAATTCGAGATTTTTTCCCGTTCCACTGCTGATGAGGAATGTCGCGAGACGGCGCACAGTGGAACGAAACGGCCATTGGGCATCATCGGTCAGTTATCGGAATTTTGTACTATGGCTTCGTTAAATCTTTAATAAATGATCGTAGCAGAAGAAAACACAAACAAAAAATGAAAGAAGAAAAAGGGAATTAAGAAGTAGAAAGATTAACTCTACGATTATAATGTATATGCTTCCTTTACTCACTGTAAGTCTAAAAAATGTTTCTTCTATTGAAGGCACAGAGAGAGAGAAAACGGAAGTAGCGGAATCAACCTTTGTTAATTATTTAGCAATCACGAGTAACTGCAATTAACTGCTAATAAACAAAATTTAATCATTAATAATATAATATATATAATATAATATATAAATTAATAATATAATAATTAAAAATTGAACCAATTTTAAAAAAAGGTACTCTGTTTTATAGAGTGTGCAGAGACTTCTTTGACTCGCTGCAAATATCGCTACTATTTTAAAGTCATAGTAACACTGTAAATAAAAAAAAAGAATGTTTAAATCATAATAAAATCTACCACAATATCTTGACATTTTTGCAAAATTCGACAAATTCGGCATCTCTGTCGAACAGAAGGATAATATAGGGATTGCGAATAACGACAAGCAATGTGTAATTTTTTCATTTGATTTTTCATACAATTTATATATATATATATATTTATATATATATTTATATATTACATAAGGTATTACATAAAGCAGCACTGGGAAATGTCTGGAAAAAACGTTCACAAACTTTAAACCTCTATCGTCGCAGCCTAAATTCGTCTCTGTCTGTATTTATACCTACATCTCCCTTATACATTTCTTTCTTTTATTATTTTTGTTGTCCTCTACAATTAAGTTTCGCTATGTTTCTCGAATCGTGCCTGTTTGTTTGATTTACGTTCCCGAAGATTACACGGTCTTTTAAACGCACGCTATAGAAAAATAAAACACTGAGATCATCAGAGGGCTTGTATCATAGTTATACAGAATTTTTCTTATTAATTCTCTGTTTCTTTCCCTTTCAACTCCCACCCGTCGCTTCGCCTTATTCCCCCCCCCCCCCCCCCTCCCCC